TCAATTAGCTGCTTTTCTGGTGAGTCCTCCTTTTCTTTCCTTTGGGGGTTTCTTTGTCTACCCATGTTTGATCTCACTGACATATCTAGTTGTTGAGTCGTTCAGTGGCTGCTCCCTGGGTGGCAGTGGCTGCTCCCTGGGTGGCAGTGGCTCCTCGGGCTGTGGTTGCTCCTTGGGCGGTTGTGGTAGCAGCGGCTCCTCCGTTGATAGTAGGGCCTCTGGTGGGTGCTGTTCACAGCTGTGGTGGCTCTTCTGGCTGGTGGAGGGAGGCTTCACACACAGCAACTGTTCCCCAGACAGAGCGTGTGGTGATCAGGAGGCCGCTGTTGCTTGAATCTGCTTTTCGTGGAGGGAAGCAGGTCTCCTCTGCGTTCATGTAGTCACGCTGCTTGAGAGCCGTTGCGTCCGGGTTAGTAGCAGATCTCTGGATGCGGATAACAGCTGCTCAAGATGGCGCAGTCTCGCCGCTGAGCTGGCGCCCAGGGGGAGGTTTCAGCCTCAATCTCTAACCATCCCCATTTTCTAGGAGTTCTCTGTCTTTCCTGGCTGCAGACTGTCTCTCAGCTGAATCTCCTCTGCTTGTTCGGGTTCTGTGTTACCTGTTTCAGCTGTTCGCCCTTATCTGCTCCGGGACAAAGCACCAACACGTCCGTCTAAGCCTCCGCCATTTTCTAAACCTCCCAATACTTCTTTTGTTACAGTGGTCTGGAACCAAACCCGCAATATCTCCGAGGGCTGTCTGTACTTAACCTACAGAAAAATCCTCTCAAGGCCAGGGGTGGAGAGAATGACACTGGGGGTAGGGAATGTGTTTCAGGTGATTCATACACATGGTAAGTACTTAATGCCCTTCACGATCACTAAATAAGGGTCATTCCAAATTTAAGTATACTAAACCATGCAAGTTGTACAAAAATTCTTAAGAATACATTTACAGATCAAAGCAATGGTTTCCAAAATTTCTAGGAGTCAGTTTCAGGCACCCAACGATGCTAAAAACTAAGTAGGTTTAAAACCGCTGCTCCAGAACACAGAATCTCTGTCTGAAATTAGCCCTCCATTCTGTCTAATGATGAACAATAAAAACTTAAACATAAAAGGTTCTCTGAGAGCTTATCTTCAAATGCAACAAGGCAGTAGCCAGGAGGGTCAGGTGCTGGGGCAGGGGCTGGGAGACAGGAAGGAATGGAACCACAGAGACAGAGCAGGTGACTAGAGGTGCAACAGGAAAAAGGAAAGCAGACTGAGTACTTCAGGCCTTGACAGGAGAGAATAAAAGGAGAACTGCGATGACCTTTTAGACCCAAGAAAGGTCCATTAGATTCCCAGCCAGAGTGAAATGAAGATACTATACTTTTAAAAAAGTTCAATCCATACGACACTATTGGATTTGCTGGTTGCGAAGGAAGAGTATACAAATACAATGGCTAGCTTTGAAGACTTGTACTGAAACATTCAATTCATAAAAGGGTTCCACCATATATATTTTTTCTTGCCTCTATTTTTTTATTGAAATTTCCTTTTGTCCAAATTTCTTAATGATTCATTTTTTTAAATCAAGTAGAAATGTTATTGTGGTTATCTGATATTTTTACGTCAAAGACTGTTCCTTCTTTCTCTGTATATAACTGAGAATAGAGTATCTTAATAACAGCTTCACTAAGGCTCTTCTACCCAAGCAATGAGAACCCAGAAAACGTCCAGAAACCTGACATCCTGTCCTTTCCACTGACTTCTCTTGTAACCACAGTTAAGTCGTCTAGGATCCAAATTTTTCACTTAACAATTAAGAACAAATACAATTGCTCTAATGAGCGTACTAAGCTTACTCAAACATCCAACACACCAAGCATGGGTCACTCCCTAGGACCGTGTGCTGCATGTGGAACTCACAAATTGTGGACTTTCCAATCCCACCTAAGCACTAAGTTATACTACTACTGTTTAACAATACAAGCCAATTAGCTGTGTTATTAAAGCATTTACAACATAGTTTTGCTACAAGTAAATTCTAAATAAAAGTTGTTGAAACCAATTTATATTTTCAACAGGATCTATATTATAATTTGGAAAATTGCATTTCTAATCAAGGATTTAACAAAACATTTAAAAACTTTAAAATATAACCAAAATGTCATAGGAAGCTACAAAAATGATTTAAACAAATATGTTTACAGCAAAACAAAATGGGCATCTGAAACTATAGTTAAAATTTTTCCCCATAAACAGATATAATATACAATTTTTTTCTTAGAATGTGGAAGAGTTTTCCAGGGATAACTAAAATGGCATAGTTTCAGTCAACTTTAAGACCCATCTATTAAAACACTACTCAGTCTTCAAGGCTCAGCTCAAATGTCACCTCTTCTATAAAACTGCCCTGCTCTCTGTAGCCAGAAAAGTCTCTGTTCCTGGCCAGAGGGCATATGGGATGCTGGGGAAACCACTCCCTCCAAAGTTATTGATAAATGTGGCTTCAAGTATTACCTTTTCTATACAATAGATTTGCAACCTTATGGCATTTAATTTTTCTGAATTTTAGTTCCCTCATTTGTAAACTGTACATAAAATCCCTCTTTGGGGTTTTGAGGGCTGAATGAAATACTAGTAAAGTACATAAACAACAGTATTTGTCATGTAGATGTATACTTAGTATGTATATGCTGCCTGTCATTAACTGTTCCCTCATTTCTTTATGCTTTTACAAGTATTAAAATGAAATGAGCTTATCCTATATAATAAAAGCCTAATATGCTAAGTGTCCGACGCTTCGACCAGTCACTATGATGCACACTGACCACCAGGGTGCATCTGACTGGTAGGTTAGCTTGCTGCTGGGGTCTGGCCGATCAGGACTGGGTGAGATGCCCTAGAGCCCTCCCGCAATCCCTTCCTGGCCCCGATTGTGCACCAGTGGGGTCCCTTGGCCTGGCTTGCGGGGATCGGGTCAAAACCAGCTCTCCAACATCCCCCGAGGGGTCCCGGATTACAGAGGGCGCAGGCCAGACTGAGGGACTCCACTGGTGCACGGATCTGTGCACTGGGCCTCTAGAGATAAAATGCTTAAGTCCTACAGATCAGGTTCCTTCTTAGAAATAGAACACTTACATTTTTCCACTGATTTTTTTTTTTTTTTGAGAAAGTGGGAGGGTGAGAGAGAGAGGGCCAGGGATTGAACCTGCAACCGAGATATATCTCCTTGAGCAGGAATCAAACCTGGGAACTTTCAGTCTTCGGGCCGATGCTCTAATCCCTGAGCAAAACTGGCCAGGGCGAAACAGAACACTTTCTAACGGTAGTTTTAATGTTACTGCCTTTGATCAACAAATCAAAAATACCAAAGGGACAAAGAAAGACAATAACTTGGTATCACACATGTACCAAATTTTGCAATGATGCTTTAGCTTACTTATACAAAGTAAAAGACTGTTAAAATCATAGAAAAGTAAGTATATTGCATTGTGAGAAATTTCTTTTTTGAAGACAAGACAATAATGCCAACAAAAAACTTTCTGTTCTTCAGTGGAATGTCAGTACCATAGAAATCGATTAAGTCGTTTGATTAAGTCATTCACTCATATGTTAGTATAGTATAGTGTTATTATAGTATAGTATCATGCAGTATAGTACTAGTATAGTGCATTATAACATAGTATAGTGCATTATAGTATATTATAGTGTAGTATAGTGCATTGCAGTATAGTATAGTGAAGTATAGTATAGTGTATTATAATATAGTACTAGAGGTCCAGTGCACAAAAATTTGTGCACTGGGGGGTAGGGGGGGTCCCTCAGCCCGGCCTGTGTCCTCTCGCAGTCTGGGACCCCTCGGGGGATGTCCACCTGCTGGCTTAGCCCCGCTCCCCGGGGGATCGGGCCTAAACTGGCAGTCAGACATCCCTCTGGCAGCCCGGGAGCCCTCGAGGGATGTCCACTTGTCAGCGGGGAGCAGGCCTACGCTGCAGTCGGACATTCTTAGCGCTGCTGAGGAGGTGGGAGAGGCTCCCGCCACCACCGCTGTGCTGGCAGCCGTCAGCCTGGCTTGTGGCTGAGCAGAGCTCCCCCTGTGGGAGCGCACTGACCACCAGGGGGCAGCTCCTGCATTGAGCATCTGCCCCCTGGTGGTCAGTGTGTGTCATAGTGACCAGTCATTCCCAGTGGTTCTGCTGTTAGGGTCAATTTGCATATTACAGTTTATTATATAGGATAGAGGCCTGGTGCACCGGTGGGGGCCGGCTGGTTTTCCCTGAAGGGTGTCCTGGATCAGGGTGGGGGTCTAGCTGGGGTGCCTGGCCAGCCTGGGTGAGGGGCTGAGGGCTGTTTTCAGGCTGGCCACACCCCTTTCAGGGTGGGGGGTCCTGCTGGGGTGCCTGGCCAGTCTGGGTGAGGGGCTGATGGCTGTTTGTAGGCTGGCCACAGCTGCAGGCTGGAAGCGGGTATCTGGGATTTATTTATCTTCTATAATTAAAACTTTGTAGCCTTGAGTGGAGCTATGGGCCGGCAGGGCAGGCGGGAAGCTTGGCTTCTGTTGCCCCTGGCAATGGAAGAAGCCTCCTGCTCGCTCCAGCTCTGTGGCCGCCGCCATCTTAGTTGGGTTAATTTGCATATTCGCTTCTGATTGGCTTGTGGGCGTGGCTTGTGGGTGTAGAGGAGGTATGATCAATTTGCATGTTTCTCTTTTATTAGATAGTGCAGTACAGTATAGAGCAGTATAATATACTATAGTGCATTGCAGTATAGTATAGTGTAGTATAGTATAATATAGTGCAGTATAGTATAGCGCAGTGCACCGTAGTATCTAGTACAGTGCATAGTATAGTGCACTGGTACAACAACATACCAATGCTTCCAATTTAACCATCCCAACTGTACTTCTTATACTGATTAAACTTTGAATAGTAATGGTAGTAAATATGGAAAGAACTGCAGGTTTCAGGCCACAGAAGATTACAACACAAGAAGTAAACTGTAATTTTAACCAAGCTTATATTGTAACCAACCTAAAGGAGAGGGCTGCCCCCGTATAACTCCATTCTTGGTTCTCTCTTCCAAGTCCATAACTTCCTTGTATATCAATTCTGAAAAAGAGGTGAACAAAAACAAGCTTTTTAAAGTCTGAAAGCCAACCTCACAAGACATCTGTTTTAAATAAATATTTTTACACACATTAAGTACTTCAAATAGTATCCTTCAAAGGTAGAGGGTCTGTAAGTGTCAGCCTAAGATTCAAAGATGTTAAAAACAATTATTTGATCCTCCGCCAAGAATTATGTTGAAAGAAACAAAATCTCTGCCTTAACTGGTGTTCCTAGAGGTGGATTAAAGATAGAACTGTGGTTAGAAACCTTGTCTTTCCCACTCCACCAGCACTCTGTACTACGCCATGTCAGACCACATTTCACGCTGTACTGCACACACTTGTTTAATGCGGTCTCAGAGACGGCTCGAGTCATCTGTCTTATTAGCGTCTATTTCCTGATAGGACCTGGAACTTGTAGGTGCTAACCCAGATACCTGTTAAATGATTTAAATGAAAGTGTGTGTGGAAGAATGGTATGAAAATACATTTTTATTAAAAAAAAAAGAGGCAGATAGCCACACCTGAAAACCTTAAAAACTGCAGCCTGACATGCTATCACTGTCACAATTTCTCCATGGGACCCTGCTCTTTGCCTGCTGTGGGCAGAGGGCTGCGAGGACGTCCACCCAAGCAGCTCCACCAGATGCTGCCCTGCATTCTCCTCAGTGGCCTGACGTTGTGTGATGAGCCCTGTGACTGAACATCTACTAAAGAAGAACCTTCTGGTAGAAGCTACAGAGCCATTGTTCCTTATCATTTTGGGGTCCTGGAATAATTTAAGAACTGCATAAAAGCAATGTACCCTCTTCTGAGAAAATGTGGAAGCAAAAATGTAGCACAGAATCTTAAGGAGTCTTTAATTCTTTAAACTTCTGATAGAGAATCTGTGATTATAGGGTATGACAATGTTTCTGTTGGTAATAAGGTAAAATAAGTGGATGTGTTGAAATGAACAAGCGCTAGAGACACCTAAATTTGCTTGCTATGGTGACCTTCTTGGACTTGGAAGGAGAAAAATAGGAAGTCTTGATAGAGGAAAGAATGGGAAAAGCTTTACTTCAAAGAAACAAAAAGGAATGATAAGCATTCCATGTAGGAGGATTTTTTAAAAATGAGAAAACAGCACCCCTTTATGAAAAGGGATTAGGTAGACAAGCAAGAGCTAATCAGCAGTACTAACTGGGCAAAGTGATCTGCAGTTAATGGCTTTGGCAATGGATTTCTTTGCGTTATGATGCTAAAACTTGTCAGCAGATCTTGAAAGAGGCAGTGAGCAGATAATCATGGAAAAGCAAGTGGGGCTAAGAGGAAACGATGCAAAATAAAGGCGAACCTGTCTAGAGTTCTCAAAAATCCCAGGTATGTCCTTATGCAAACAAAAACACCATGTTCCACTGATTTTAAGATGCACTTTTTCTTACAGTTTAATGTCTCTGAAATTGGGTCGTATAACCAGTGGCACATTATGGTGTGTTTTACAATTGGTGGCCTACTAAGATTTCAGGAGATATAAGAATATCAGTTTAGATATTTCCATACTACACTCTGGCCCACAGTTATATCCTTGCATATTACCTATTACATGTAAAAATGTACTCGGTTCTACCCAATTATATCATTCTGGTAGATTCTACAGAATTTAACTACATGTCTCCCAGATTCAACTCAGAGAAAACTAATCTCTGGTTACACTCCTAAGAAGAAAGAATCAAATTCATTCCTCCCAAATAAATTTATAGCTGGATTACCTGTCTGTTTATACCTCTGCAGTCCCTTTCGCTTTCCCAATATGTAGGCACATAGTTCTTAATAGCAAGTCTTCTGTGCCCAGTTATTTAAGTTCAGGTAAAAAAAGGGATCAAGTGACTTGCCCAAAGTCATGTAGCTACAAAAGTGGTTCAAACATCACATAACAACAACACAAATGAGGTAAACAGGGTCTAAAAATTACCTGGCCTAACTATCCCAGGGAAGCATTTTTTTTTTAATTTGTTAATCCTCACCCGAGGATATTTTTTTTCTGTTGATTTTGAGAGAGCGAGCAACATCGATGTGAGAGAGACACAGCAACTGGTTGCCTCCTGAATGTGCTCCGACCAGGGTTGGGTACTGAACCTGCAACAACTCAGGTGCATGCCCTTGACCCGGAATCCAACCCGAGACTTTCAGTGGACAGGCCAATGCTTTAACCACTGAGAGCAATACAGGCCAGGCCACCCCAGGGAATCTTTTAAAGAAAGAAATATTTCCATGACTATCAAAGCACTATTATTAATGTTCAACTACCTTCATAAAATAAAACTACGATATTAGATTTGTAAAGATTACAAATGAACTCTCTCTGTTGGTGAAGGTGGGGGTAACATAGACATTCCTATTCAGTGCTGAGAGAAATGCAAACCGCTACAATTTCTTTGAGGGTAATCTGGAAATAATTGAAAAATATCCTTTGGCCCAGCAAATCTTATAGGACTTTTTTTATTGGCATGTTCTCACATGTGCAATAACAACAGACTGGACACAACTTAAGTGCTCTGCAAGTGGGAGCTGGGTATAGAAACTGACACAGCTGGACAGCTGGGTATCCATGCGCCAGGCATGTGGAGCAGGAGAGGGTGATCTCTAATATGGGATTACACCCACAAAGCACACTGTACAGCATACACCACTGGAGATCAAACAGGTGGGAGAGAGAAGGGGGAGACCCAAACACACAGGCTTGTGTATTTGTAGACTATGGAAAAACAAAATATTTTAAAAAGAACAAATGTTTCTGTGTCTGGAGAGGGGATGTGAGAGATCAGGATTAAGTAAGGGAGGAAAAGAGACATACTTTCTATTTTTGCAAAAAATACTAATAATCATATTACCAAATATGCATTATGAATAATATAAAGTATCTTTAGTTTCCTCAACATGATGAATAAATCAACACAATAAGGCAGAAGCCCTCTCAGCTCCATCTCTCAGGATCTGGTGAATGTTACCTTTCCACTCTTCTATTGTGTGTTCCCGTTCATCTAACTGCTTGTCAGGTATCTTTGGTGGTGGCTGAAAAACAAAAGGCAGCAATAATTGAGTCAGTTTACTAGGAGTATGCAAATCCATCATAATTATTTGAAATGTCATCCAAACAGCAAGGGCTTGTAAAAATACATTATTAGACAGAGTGATGAGTCATCTTTGATGTAGAGACTAGTTTTGGAAGAATCCTTCCTGACAGGAAAAAGATGTCTAACTATCCTTTTCTTTTCTTCCAGCTTTTGAAATGGTCAGTTTATTTACATCATAGAACTGGGCTCTGCTTTGGACACGATAATTTGTATTATAACTGAGTTAGGATGTCCTCCCAAAGCATTCAGTGTTCCAGCTCATCAGATCACGTATCAGACAAGAAGGCAAGAAGCTGAGAGAGGGAACTTTATTTTGTGTCGGAAGTGCTTGGATAAGCTCATTAAGGCACTTTAAATGCAAAACAGAAAAACAGCATCATCATTTACCTATATTTTTATTTAAAACTAGAGGCCCAGGGCACGAATTCATGCATGGGTGGGGTCCGGCCTGCCCACCCTGATGGTGGCAGTTGGGCCAGGTAGGCAGGGGAGAAGGGATGCAGGAGGTTGGCTGGCCGGCCCCACTCCTTATTGGGGTTGGGGGGGCGGGGGTCCAATTGGGGCCGGGCTGGCCGGGGGGAGGGGCTGTGGGCAGTTGGAGGGGGGGCCGATTAGGGCCCCCCAATCGGGCCAGTTGGCCACCACAGTGCGCATCATAGCGACCAGTCATTCTGCCATTCTGGTCGCTTGGCTTTTATATATATATATAGATTAAAATGTCTCCTCCGAACCCAACTTTAATTCTAACTGACTTCTTCAAACATGAAGAGAAGAACTTACAGCCTCCGCCTCGGAAGGGTCATACCAGACGTTGATGTATGGGTGCTGGAGAGCTTCGTCCACAGAGATCCTTTTGGATGCGTCAATCACCAGCATTTTGGATAATAAATCCCTCGCCTGACTGGCTGCAAAAATAATGATGTGAATGTACACATACCTCATAAAGGTTTTTAAAATTAGCAATACATTTCAGAAACTTGATGCTCATTTTTTAAAAAGTATATGTTTTATAAAAATATTTTACTATAAAATCAGGTCATACATATGATGAAAAAATATAGTTACAGAAAAAAATGGCTAAAACCTTACTTTGTTCCACCACCCAGAAATACACTTAGTGTATGCTCCATAATAATATGAAAACACACACACACACACACACACACACACAAATAGGATTAAATAAATATATTTATAAAAGTACCTTTAAGTTTGTTGTGTTCTGAGTCAGCAGGGAAAAGCACATCGGGGAAGAGTTTCTCAAAGCTATATCCAGCATATTTAGGTCTGTTTTCAACGTAAGTCCTTACTGTTGGTTGTAGTTTCTTCATGAATTCAGGACATGGTGTTCCAAGCTGTTCAATAACTTTATTCCACTGATCAATATCTAATATCAAGTAGCTAAGAAAAATACTCCGTATCTAATGTTCAACACATAGTCATAGCCATATTAAAATAACAAGAAAATAACAATTATAAAATTCTAAGAAAGAATGTGGCAGTTACAAATCTTTTATCTTATAGCCACCTTGCAAAAGGTGGACAGAAAGGGTCAATAAACAAGCACTGTTAATCTTATTGAGAGAGAGAGAGAGAGAGAGAGAGAGAGAGAGAGAGAGAGAGAGACTCTGTGTGTGTGTTTGTGTGTGTAATATTCATTTTATCATATAAATGAAAGCTTAAGCCCAACTGGTGCAGCTCAGTGGTTGAGCGTCATCCCATGTACCAAGATGTCGCCAGTTCTATTCCCAGTCAGGGCACATGCTCAGATTGTGGGCTTGATCCCTAGTAGGGGGTATGCAGAGGCAGCAGATCGATGTTTCTCTCTCATTAATGTTTCTATCTCTCCCTTCTCCCTTCTTCTCTTTCTAAAAAATCAACAAAAACATATTTAAAAAAATGAACGCTTAAACCAACAAATTCCAAATACAAATGACTCAAAAAATAATGATAATTACTACCCACAGGGACTCTAAATGTAAACTGTACACAATTCTAGAATACAAAAATATTTTTTTCTGGTTCATCTGAAAATGTGAATGCATATCCTAGAGCAGTGATGGCGAACCTTTTGAGCTCGGCGTGTCAGCATTTTGAAAAACCCTAACTTAACTCTGGTGCCGTGTCACATATAGAAATTTTTTGATATTTGCAACCATAGTAAAACAAAGACTTATATTTTTGATATTTTTAAATGCCATTTAACAAAGAAAAAGCAACCAAAAAAATGAGTTCGCGTGTCACCTCTGACACGCGTGTCATAGGTTCGCCATCACTGTCCTAGAGGCTAAGAAATATTGCTTATAATCTGTCCCTTTTTTTGAGAATTTTCTACACTAACAGAAAATAAAAATGACGGCTCTGGTAAAAGTGGTGTTTTCTTTTGCCATGCTTTGTTTAACTTAGGTAATAAACTCTGTTTGAAAGCTCTGAAACCTGTGAACATGAATCAGTGTTTGGTAAGTTGTGAGGTTAGAACTCCCTGTCTCCTTCCTCCTAAGTCTTCACACTGCCAGTCCTCCCTGGGACGAGAACCAAAGCTCTCTGATGAACCTAGTGCATATGGCTTTCCCATGCCTCCTCCTCACGTCAGTCTCAGGGTGACTAGCTGATAAACACATCACACATCACTCGCTGGTAATGTAAATATTAAAATAGATGAACAAAAAGCATGACTCCAAATCTACTTACACCATAATAAAACTATTACTGCTGAAATTCTCAGATGAAAAGATCAGTATGTTATGTTAAGAAATCAGACAACCCAAAGACACAAAACACAAAGAACATTAACAAAAAGGAAGGTGGGGTGGGGGGAGGGGGTAAAACAAAAGGATGACCAGAAGCAACAGACAATTCCAAAATTCATATTCAAGCCCTAAGTACTTCTAGACTTAATCAAGTGCATACTTATTAAAATTTTTTAATGGCCGCCATGATTTTTGATTTATGTTAAGTAAATCAACTCAAAGCCAGCAAATAATTGTGGATAATTAACTTGAGCAGTTCTCAGAAATAACATGACACAATCAATACGTGGGGGAAGGGAAGTCTATGTCAACTAGCAGGTGGTATTTTGAAAGAGTAGAGTAATTTAACAATATTATTAGGGAGAGACAAAATACATTACACTTGACATAGCTGAAGTGCTGTCATACATTTTGACCTTTAGAAACTACATTTTAGGCCAAAGATAAGGATACGATCTGTACCTGGGAACAAAACACCACCTTTGATCATTTCTCCCATGATGCACCCAACTGACCAAATGTCAACTGAAAACAAAATGCAATGACATTAACATAAAGAATTTGGTTAAAATAAAAAATAAAAAAACATTAAAAAAAATCACGCACACCATGTATACTTTAAAATTATAGAAAGCAGTACAAAATAAAAATGAGTGACAGTGAATGTGCTCTAACTACCAGCAGAGACTGTATTTCCTGCTGCCGGACGCAGCCTACGAACATTTCAGCTTCTCATCAGTTTTTGAACTGTAATAGCCACAAACTATCTGTTTAAAACCCCCTTGTAAGAATGAACCATCTTCATCCCCATTAGCGAACATAGGAAGTCCATCACTAACTAATTTCACTGCTGCAGCAGCACAAGGATACAGTCCCTTCCTGGAAAGAGGATTTTGTGGCAAACCATTTCTCCCATAATGCACCCCACAGACCATAAATCCACTATATGTTTGCAGCACAAAAGAAGGAAAAGCAAAGCAAAAGGTCATTAAAATCAAAGAAGCATAATATGACTGCATTATATAAAAACTACAAAACATCACAAAAAGAAAAAAGTGATTTTAATTTTAGCTAATGGAATAATTTAAAACACAAAACATTTTTCAAAAGGCTTTGAATTACAAAAGCAAATGGTGAAGTGTGGCCTTTTAACTATATATCTAATTTTAAAGTGAGAGCCATGCACAGAAATAATGTAGTTAAAAATCCTATACATTTTGTCAATGAAAATTTGTTTATAAAATACAAAATAGCAGCAAACTTAAACTTTGTAAATAAGGTTGAAAAAGTACACGAGGTAGCAAAATTTAAAAAATGAAATCTTGACAATATTTTGAGTTTCAACTGTGCATTATGCTCTCTCTTTAAGTCAACAAAAAAGCATGAGCAGAAATAATTTAGCATGTTAAATATTTAACAGAAAGCATGTATTTCTATGAATAATTATAGTTAAGAATTAATCTGAAGCCCTTTAGAAATTTTCAAACTGGATTTCATAAATGTATTTGAGTAGCGCTATGTCTATTTTGAATTGAAAGTCATTTGTTCCCCAGCAATGCTGTGCTACATCTACCCTACTATCCCAACAGGAACAAGTGCATGGACAGTGGATAAATGATCAAGTCAGGAAACTCAGTAAAAAAGCATATATCATGTTTTCTACCTAAAGTCTTTAAACCCATAAAACTAAATTGCTTTGGTTGAAGACGTTTAGTTTTGGCTGAATAGAGTCTGAAAGTTCCCACTTCAACGAGACCTCTAATCAATGCTGAAGACATCTGCTAGACCAGTGGTTCTCAACCTTGGCTGCACATTAGAATCACCTGGGAATCTTTTTAAAATCCTGATTTCTGGGCCTCGTCCTCCGGAAATTCTGTTTCTTTGTTATGGGGTGGGGCCACAACATTAGTAAAAAGAAACAGAATTTCTGGAGGATGGGGCCCAGAAATCAGGATTTTAAAAAGATTCCCAGGTGATTCTAATGTGCAGCCAAGGTTGAGAACCACTGCCTTAGAAGCTTTTATTTGTTTTTGAAGCTTGAAGGTCTAAATTCTTTAAGGGCAAAAAAGGAAAAGGGTAGAAATTGATGTGAGAGAGAGACACCCTTTACCACACTGGAGGACTTAGGAAATGTCAGTGTACTTTCTGGGACACACCCTTACAGGAGACTGCCAGTTCACCATAGACTCATAGGAGCTAAACTGGAAAGAAATTTTGGAAAACCTTTGGAATTAAAGTTTCTCTAAAATTTGATATTAAAATAAAGGCAAATATTTTTATATTTATGGTAGGATTCAACTTTGAAAGACAAGAATTTAGAAAAAAGTTAATATTCATAAATCTGAAGGAAAAAAATTCCAGGGTTTTCATTTTTGGTAAAAATCTATTACAATAAAATTTCCCTATAGATTATAGAGAATGGCAAACTTTACTTAAATATCCACGACACAAGTTATGTAGAAAACTTTAAGAAATCACATAAACCCATTTTTAAACAGACTATGAAAGTCGCAAGCATGTGAGCAGTTCTTGTCTGGGTCAGTGGTTCATGCATAAAACTTCCTTTAATGGGTCTATAGCCAATTAGGCAGCTTATATATATTCCATTATATTATACTTTCTACAAAGCTTTGAGGTAGCTTGCAATAAAAGGCAACATTAAAGACAAAGTTGTTAAAACAGGTGAGGGTGGGTGGAGGAAGTTCTTATGTTTGCCCTTGATGGCTAATGCAGTTATTGTTATTAAGCATTATATTTGACTCTGTTTCCTGAGACCAAAAAAAAAGAAAGAAAAGGTGATAAGGTCGTCTGCATAACTCTTAATCTATGAGGAAAGCAAGTCAATTCTTATTATGGTATTTTTTTTAGTGTTAATTTCTGGCAGGGAGCTATCTTCCCAAATCACATTTATAGGCCATAGAGTGACACATTGCACAGTAGCTGGGACAGTAAATGGTTTTATAGCAAATGCAAAAGCAATCTTCATGTTGGTCACTTGTATCAATTCTAAAAAAAACCCCTAAAAAACAATAACAAAACCTCAATGAGTCTAATACTAAATCGAACTCACTAGATCTACAGGGTATAAGACAATTTTAGATAGTAAGAAAACAAAACATCTTGTTTATTTAAGAACAAAAGAATAATAGTAAATGTTTAAAGTATTTGTTTTTAATTAGCTCAGAAAATAAAAGGAAGTTAAAATTCTCAGTTCAATATTATCTTTTCTAAAAATGATTCAAGAAGACTGACTTAATACAGTTTCTTAGTTCAAAGCAAACTGCTAGGAAAAAGTCCAGACCCTATTCCAGGCAGTACTTTGGATGAAGTTACCACAAGTCAATAAAGGCCTGTGCACTCATTCACCCCTGTCTGAAAGTCTACAACATTTCTTCTTAAATATATGTGTATGTTTAATTTTTAATAATTCATGAACTACATGCCTGACAATTTTCTTCAACCTTGATTCTAATGCTGATATATGTAACTGAATATACCCACACATAATACGCCATTTCTTTAAGGCTGGACACAGGGCATTGATGAAACAATAGTTTCCTACAAAAGGTCACCTTTATTATCCATCAGCTTTGCAGATGGCTTTATCCTGGCTCTTCAAGCTTACTAAGTGCTATTGCTGGTAACTCTAGTCTCAGGGGGTTGGAAATAGGTGCAAATGTCACTAACAGCAAACTAGGATTCATACAAAAGATAAACTGTCAGTCCACTATATGTACTCCTTGAGCCCATGTTAGAAATATTCACTGTAAAGTTACAGGAAAGTAAATTTCAGGGGGCCATGGCAACAAAGTCCTTATCCAAAGGTAGTGTTGATGGTTAGGTATTTGTAATTAAATAAACAGGTACCCTAAGTTTTCCCAAACATTTATGACAAAATTTAGAGTTACTTTCAAACTCTTGATACAACGTTTCAGTGACAAATATTTAACTATGCACTTCAGCTTAAATATTTACATAAGAGATCTCATAAAACAGAACAGTATTTCAAGTAAATGTGTTTTCTGACCGTTTTCTTTGTAGCCCATCCCTAGGATGACTTCAGGTGCTCTGTAGTAGCGCGTCACTACGTAGGGTGTCATCATGAAACTAGTTCCTGCAGTCCTGGCCAGTCCAAAGTCAAGAATCTTCAAAGTGCAGTCTGATTTTACTACTATATTACTGGGCTTTAAGTCCTTTAAGAAATAAAAAAATAAAAGAATGCTATGACATATACAAATATTTTGCAGTTCACAAGTTATCAGATCACTGATAAAACAATTCATGCAAACTGTTTATTTCTCTCACCATAATCGATATCATGGCATAAATTCATTATATTGGGCACATTTGAGGAATTCACGTGATGGTATTTTAATTTATGAATGCATACAGTTATTAGAGAATTTAGTAATATTTTATTTGCTAGAAATTATGATTAGCTAGTAATTTTTGATCAAGTGGAGTAAAGCAATTTGGAACTACATCTAAAAGCTCACATAAGCCCTAGCTGGTCTGGCTCAGTGGATAGAGCGTAGGCCTGGAGTCTGAAGGATCCTGGGTTCAATTCCAGTCAAGGGTTGCGGGCTCAATCCCCAGTGTGGGGCATGCAAGAGGCAGCCTATCAATGATTCTCTCTCATCATTGATGTTTCTATCTCTCTCTCCCTTTCCCTTCCTCTCTGAAATCAATAAAAAAATCTATAATAATAAAAACATAATATGCTAATTAGACCAGACATCCTTCCAGATGAAGCTGGGGCTGCAAGGGAAGCCAGTGCCAGCAGCTAGGGGAAGGAAGGCCTACTCCTGCATAAATTTTGTGCATCAGGCCTCTAGTATTTAAAAATAAAAAAGCTCATGTAAAACGAATATGGTAAAAGAAAGAGAGAATCATAAGTTAGCATTTATATTCACTTGTATACTAAATTACCAGCATAAAAAAACCCAATTTTAAAGACACAATGGAGTTTGTGTAGATAATACAAATCAATAATTGGCCATTCTATGTCAATCCAAGCAGGTGTCATTTGACCTCTCTCATTGGCAGATGGCCAAGTATAATGACGAAAACAGTCCTCAGTGGTCTTTCCATCACTGACTGCTGTCCCAAATCACACAAATTTGTCCATAAAATCTCTGTCTGCTCACAGAGGTAGACAGCATTGTCTTGGTGCCACTAATCTATATAATTACTTGCTGTTAATGCTACTAAATAATGTCTTTGTGAAGAATTTTCCACCTGACCCCAACTTCAAGCAATTCTATGCTGTGGTCATTAAAAGGAAGGCAGCGGCGTAAACACTCATGGCTTCAAGTTCAACACATTTTGCCTGTTAGCTCCCATGAAACCTATTGTGAACCAAGAGACCATAGAAAGCAAACATACATCCATAACACAAACACACTCCATTATGGGTACTGATGGCCTGAAAAGCAATGATTGCTTTTTCAATGTCTCTATCCAGGAAAAATTGTATGTTGTTGTTTTTAGATCTTTTCATAGGCAATCATGGATGGTTTTAGAAGATAAATAACCCAAGGGCTTTATCAAATTAAAAATAGAGATCAATAGGTGTAGTGAAACAGAAGATGAAAATTTTCATTATTGCTGTTCCATAAATATGATATTGGCACTATTTCCAAAACACAATACTGAGCCAAGTAACTTTGCATGTTCAAAAATATAGCTTACAAGCTTTGATACCATTTCAATGTCTACTCTGATGGGTAAAGATCAATGGCTCTTTACACTACTGCATTCTCATCTAGAAATACAATTCTAATTTTAAACATTTTATTTTGGAAAATTAAGAGTAAAATACACTTAAAAGTAGATATTTTTAAAGAAAAAACTGTCCAAAAATGCCTCAAATAATATTACCTAAAATCTATCCTTCTATATATCAATATGTACCTTTCTACCGATGCTAGAACCATATGAGAAGAACAACTGAATTTGCATGAATTTGTAGCAGAGTGGAACTAAGCTAACATTATTCCATCTTCTCTCAGAGTTTCTAGCCTCCTCACAATTAGGTAGGTAGTCAGGCAAGCCTAACTGTGATTAGTTCTGTGAAGTGGGATGTGAGAACATACAGAAGGGCATCCTGTTGTCCCTTCCCTGCTTTGGTGACTGTAACATTCCAGATGATGGACCCTCTGTCAGTCTGGGTTTCTGAGCATAGAGGTAAAGCAGAGCCCTCACCTGTCATGACCTGCACTGGACATGCGATGCGGGAAATAAACCGTAGTTGGTGAGCCACGGAGAATTCAGGGTTTGGTACCCAGCGTAGCCCAGCTGTGACATTGTGATTTATAATTACTATATATTTGGTCTTTGTCTCAATTACTGAGACAGAGCTCCAAAAACCTTAGAATTTCTTTCTTTTTTTAAAAAAAAATATTTTTTATTCATTTTTTTTTTAGAGAGAGAGAGAGGAAGAGGAAGGAAGAGGGAGAGAGAAACATTGATCAGCTCTCTCTTGCACATACTCTGACCCGGGATCAGACCTACAACCTGGATATGTGCCTAACCTAGAATCAAACTTAATCCTTTGGTGCACAGGACAACACTCAACCAACTGTGCCACACCAACCAGGGCAAGAATTCCTTAATTGATAAGAGCAATAAAGGTGACTGTTATTTTTAAAGCCCTTTTCACTGACCCTGAGTTTATGTTAATGAGCTGACTTGCAAAGCCCAAAAGGATGGGGGCTGGTTGCCAAGGGAACCAACATTGTGATTTGAGCTTCAACTTTCAGCTCCACCCCCTGACTTCAGCTAGCGTTCAATTACCAATGGTCAATGATTCAATCAACATGCCTAGGAAGGAAATGAAGACTCCATAAAAACCACAAAAGACAAGATTTGGTGCTGAACATGTGAAGATCTGAGGAGTGGCACACCCAGAAAGGGCATGGAGCTCCACACCCCTTTCCACATACCTTGCCCTATGCACCTCTCCATTTGGCTCTCCCTGAGTTAATGTCCTTTGTAATAAACTGGTAGTCTACTAAGTAAAATGTTTTCCTGAGTCTGTGAGAAGCTCTGGCAAATAAATTGATCCTGAGTAGAAAGATGTGGGAACCTCTGAATTAGAGCCAGGAGGTCAGAATCACAGTAATAACCAGGGCTTGTGATCGGCATCTGCAGTGGGGGCAATCTTGTGGGGCTGAGCTTTTAACCTGTGGGATCTGAATCTGTCTCCAGGCAGAAAGTGTCAGAACTGAATTAAATTGTAGGACACCAGCTGAAGTACAGAAAACCTGAAAATTGTTTGGTGAGAAAAACTGACACACATGGTGTTACAAGTGGTGCTGTAGGGCAGTAAACACAGCCTGCTCTTCCTTCTCACCGGTCTATGGTCTATTCTGATATCACTGAAACTGGTGCCAGGTAGGGTGCTACTCTTCCATACACACGATCATAGCTTAGCAGTCGAGTAGCAGGCAGCAGGGAAACTAATACCACAGTTGGAAAAGCGATCCAGGTTATATAATAGCAACGCCTTCGAAGACACTGTCACTTGCAAGAACTCGGCAGGCACAGCCCTGCATAATGAAGTTGAGGCTCAGAATAGGGTTGGCAAAGGAAGGCCTACCTGTGAAGAAACAGCCACACTCATTCAGTTGCTTATTGTCTATGGCTATTTTTGTGTTACACTAGCAAAGCTATAACAGAGCTTGTATCATCCGTAAAGCCTAAAATACTATCTGGCCTTGCCTTTACAGAGTAAGTTTGGGAAGAAGTGATTAGAAAGTAAAATTTTAGTAGTGTGTGTTGGTGGCTAATAGATAGATGTGAAAGAACTGTAGTACAGTAAACACAATTTACTGCCACTTTACAAGTAGAAATGAAAGGGAACAGAGTTTAGAATATTTCAGGCCTTGCCATTCTGGAAAAACTAAAAGTTACTAGACACTTACAAAAAAAAGCAGTGTATATAGCAGACATCTCCTCCTCCCAACCCTGTATACCTCTATACCTTTTCACCTTCAGATGACTTGTTTCAATCAACAGAATGTGAGAGAATGTGATGTCCACCAAACCTGAAGACGGTTGTAAATGAGCTTGCTTGATTTAGCTTGGTTCTCCTATCTTTCACCATGAGAAAAGGAAGAGCCCAATGAAGACCAGCAATTTCCAAACTTTTTAATCTCATGACACACATAAAGTAGTTGCTAAAATTCTGCAGCACACCAAAAAAAGTATTTTTTGCTGATATGACAAAAAACAACAACACCTAGGTATAATTTTATACACAGCACGGACTTCCTCTTCTCATACAGTGAGACCGACTACCCCGACAGTGGATCCTCACTCAGCCTGGGTCTCTGAGAGACTCTGGGGAAGCCCACCCCCCACCCTGACTTTCACTGAACCCCTACAGGACGAAAGTTCAGGTTATTTTAGCAAGTAAGCAATCTCAGCCCAGCAGAAGCATTAGCTTAGGCTGCGGGGACTTTGAATGAGTACTAGAGCAGAGAGAGGAGTACATTGTGGCCTCAAGACCAGCTACAGAAGTGAGTGCAGTAGTTTATCCCATTAAACTTCTAGTAAGATACTCAAAAAAAGGAACAGACATCAAATAAAACCATGGAAGAACAGTTTCCAGAACTTACTGCATGAAGAAAGTGGGAACAAGGAGCACCAGGGGTGGCCTACAGTGGGTGCTGTGCTGCGAGCTCTGACTCCTGGGAGCACTGAGCATGCATTCTTCCAGCTGCTGGCTGTGTTGGCTGCCGACAGCTGTAGCCAAGTCTCTCCCCAGGAACTGCCTTCAGCGAGGTGCCTCGTTTTCCAAGGTCCTGCTGCCCCCAGGACAAAGGCCCAGTTGAGTTACCAGCTGAGGCCTCTGGAGTGATTGCATCCAATTCAATTTCTCCCTCTGTGCACTTTTACTTCCTTTACTCCCCCCTCAGAGACCCCCATATAAGTCTTATTAGTCCAAACTTATTATGTAAATTTTCTATTGTACTGTATTTTTAATACTTTATTGCCTATATACTAAAGGAGTACGTATAGTATCCCAATACATACTATTGTATTTGTGCAGTTATCCTTTTTTTTACAATTTAAGATTTGTACATAGCAACTCTATTCCATGTCAAGTTCTTGACATTATTTATCCAAATAAGTGTATAATACCCTTCATCCTTATAAGTAACTCTTCTTCCCACTATAATCACTTCAC